CGAAAAATATTGCGCCGTAAGTTGCACCTTTATGCATTACGGGATCTGTAGCGTTATGGTCAAAGACAAAATATATTAAACTTTAACGCTACAGACCTGCAGCTACCCTCTGCTCTGCAGACGACACACATATGAGTTACGCAACAAGAAGTCTCACAAAACTAATATTTCAAATTTCCCCGATATCCGCTGTATATCTGAGGTATAGAATGTAGTTGAGGTTTCACACGATGAAACTCTGCGAGTTGTTTTTAAAAGGGATTGAAAGTCTGCTGAAATTTAGTGACCTTTCAAAATCTTTCACTGTCCAATAATTCGCTAATACCGTTGGTTCATTCTGTGTTTTGTCCAGTCTTAAATCGTTATTTTTGTCATTAATTCTAAGTTTGATGTCACAAACAGAATATTTTCTGTGTTTACTTTTACTAGTGAGTAGACACAAGATTTCTACTCAATCAGTTTTGAAAAATGAACACATCAAATGTATTTCTTTGAATTGTGCTTGTACGTTATCTTATTTAGATTGTAACCCTGGATACACTGGACCAGATTGCAGATTGATCTGTGAGTATCCATATTATGGAATGCAATGTATGGGAATGTGTACCTGTACAAACAACAGCTGTAACTTCATGACAGGATGCCAAGAACATGGTTTGTTATAAAGTATTTTTTTTAGAAAGACACACTGCACATGTATTTAGAATAATGATAATTTAACTATAATATTTTGACATGCACCTTGACTTCAACGTTGTTAAAAATCTTCATGTCTAGTAAATGTAATTTATTTGGTAGGTGAAACAAAAGGGTTGAAGAGATGAAACATTTGAATGCCGGTTTTGGATATGTCACGTAGTTTTTTTCTCAAGTTAGATGCATTGATATCATATTTCTTGGGTAGGAAATAGATTAATAAAAAAGGTTTTTTGTACTTAACGCATGATCAGTGCATTTAAAAATTGACGAATCATTTTTTTTATTCTTTCTTCAAAAGATTTAAAATATAGAAAAAGACAAAGTAGTTAATCCTATACAGTATTTGCGTGAACATAATTGTGCATATACATGCACAAGCCCCTTTTATGAATAATATTATAAAAAAGATATTGGAAATTTCTATATTTAAAAAACACATGATATCGATATTATTGATATTAATGATGCAAATACCAATGATACGAATGTACACTAATTGCATCCTTCCATAATTCTAAAACGAGGGAAAAGTATTTCCTGTGATATGATAGTTTCATCAATTAGAATTTATAATGTTTTGAAATAAAAAACATGTTGCTTAAAATTCTAAAAGGAAGTTACAAATCAGAACTATTGGTTATGAAGCCAGTAATGCACAATTTTATTTACAACTAGCGTAGAATACGGAAAATATTATTTATAAATATACCGCATTTTCAAAAGACTTAATTCATTAAATTTTATTTCCGTTAATACATTCATGTATGTCGTTCTAGTTTTATTATTATTATTTTTTATTTGAGTCAGAATTACTTTTCAATTTTAATGGATACATACCAGAAATATACATTTTAAATTCTAATTTTGAAACCAACTGTATGAAAAATGTATTCAACAGTAGACTCGAACTAATAAGACACTCCATGTCGTGAAAACCAGTGCTACTAAACTGTGTTTGCATGTATATACGCATCACGTAGTTTTTTATACAAATATGACTATGGACATTAAAATGATTTTATTCCTGTGTAACTGCAGATAAAAGGTTGAATGTATTTCTCATCTGGTTTAAACATAACATCTGCAATAGAAAAAGTTGAAAAATAACGTTTTATAGTTTAAGGACATATATATGAATTAAAGACTTCCAATATTTGAGGGAACTGTGTGCTGTATTGTAACGTTAATATTTGTTTTACACTTCCTCTTAAACGAGGGTTGATATTAAGTATAATATATAAAATATATGTTTTATTTATAATATATGTTTTATTTATTTTCATATAATTGTTTTCTGTATCATCCAGGATTTTTCATCATCTGATATCTTTTCAAAACCTTTCACTACTGGCTTTTAAAACCCCTATCCATATGTCCGTATGAAAATTCCCTGTCTTTCTCTGTATCCTACAACATTTTCACAGTAAGCTACAGAATATCTGTAGAGACACTCTTGTCGATTAACATCTTATGCCATTCAATTTAAAATCTTAAAGCAAGAAAAAGCAAGAAAATCTTGAAAACATTTTGCAGGTTAATACATTGCATATGTCCTTGAATAACTCTATTAAAAACCAAAATTGCATCTCTATGTGTTTAATGTAATAATATTTCAGAGACTTCAATGACAATAGACATAACTAGATCAAGTTTTCAAAGCATCACCAATGAGGCAAAAAGGGATTCACGAGAGAAATCGAAAAGTACTTTGATCTCCGGAATAATAATTTTTGGATCACTTGGAATCGGAATATGCATTTTGTTCGCCTGTTTTTATGTTTATAAGATGGCGATTGAAAATCAGTTCCAGCAACGTACTCAGACATCAATCAAGAGCCAGAATGGACATTACGAACAGGTTGATAGGATTGCTTTTCATATCTGAGAGACTGTTCAAATATATACAGTTAGACTTTTACATTTAGTTCTAACATTTAGAAACGTGAAATGTATAAGGAAAAAAAAAAAAATTAAGCATTTACAAATATGAAGGAAGAGTTATTCTGTTCCGTGCATGATTCATTTTCTTTAAAGATATGCAAGGATAATAATGTTTACAGTAACAGCTGGTACATGTAAATGTATTTGAAAATATAATTTTAAAATCAAATAATCATAAAGAAATTTGTATGTTTAAATTGAAAGGTGTTATGTACAATATGAACAATTCTATGATTGAAATAAATTTGAAAAGAAATAAAATATCATATGGTCGCTTTGGGCGTATGCATAAAAACGTTAGCAATTACTGATACATGCCTTCACATCCACTAAAACTTTATTTATCACTCTGAGGAAGTATTTGTTTTATTTTGAAATGTAAATTACCAATTTAAGAAATAAACAACAATGCTTTAAACGTTCTCTGGGAAATGAACCCCGAACGGCTTTTCAAAAGATTTGATCAGGAACAAACTAAGTTCATTTTCCAGTAAGCTTTTTAATGATAGTGTTGATTAATACTTATTTTTACATTTGAGATAAACAATTCGGAATAAAGCTGCACTTATCACTCAAATAGGCCTCCGCATTTATATGTTTTGAGGCGCAATGACATAGACGTTGTTTGGTGTAAAAAGTTCACTTTGCTCCAACATTTAAATGTTGACATTCATTTCTAGTAGTCCAGTTAAAGAAGTGTCTGTTTGTTGTGATAGAACAAAGATCGTTGCTGAGAATATTTCTACTCTTTCATGAGTTCTTGATCTGTTTGAAGTCAAAAGCGGTGGTATCGCCTGTTTTAATTCACTAAACCTAAAAGGAACTTAGGGTTATAAATGTAAGTGTGGTCTTAATTTTAAATAGTATTAAAAACATTATTCACATCAAAAGAAGATTTATTGTACCTCTCTTGATTGAAAAATATCAATATTTGTAATCATTTTTTTTTTATTTTTTCATCTTTATTTACTTCGATATATTTTAAAACAAGTACATGTAGCACCGTGACAGAGATATGTAGACAAAATATTTTCCTCTAGGATACGGTCTCGCTATGACCTCTGTTCCAAAAGTAAAGTTCATACAGCATTTAACATATTTTCTCTTCAATAGGTTTAGTCATCTGCGTGACGCAGTGGTTAGAGTCTCTGCTCTAGAGTTGCGAAGAAAGGAGTCGATCCATTCTTCGCGAGTTCGAATCCCATTGTGGATCATGGAGATCGGTTCCTCAGATGAGACCGTATGGACCGAGTTCCCGGTCGCAATAGGTGTTGGCACAAAAAAGATATATCCCTGTTCAATGGCCCTGGGTGCAAAGTATAGGACAAATCTGCAGCTCTCCAGCGGCAAGTAGTGGCGTCTCCACGTGAGTGAAAAAAATTCGAAAGGGACGTTAAACAAGATACAATCAATCAATCATTAGTTCATCTAAAAAGATTTTTGCAAATGTAACTATTGTAATTGAAGTGTATTTAAACAATATTTAAGATTTAAAATTTAAATTTATAAAGTGTCATATATGTATTCAGTTTTTATCTCTTAATATGATATAGAGTACTGTTTTTCAAAACTTCTGTTTAAAGCAAACTCCCCAAAAATCAGAATACAAATGTTGACGTCGCTCTAGATTTACGAAGGGAACAGTTGATCCTTACGTTGCGGGTTCGAATCCAGCTTTTAGACATGGAGACCTGCCCTTCGTATGAGACCTTATTAACCGAGGTTCCGTGTAGGCAGTCGGTGTTGGCACGAAAAAGATCCCTCACTTCTCAATGTCCCTGAGTGCCGAGTATAGCTCGAAATGTGTAGCCCTCCAACTACATTTGGTGGCGTCTACGTTTGAGTGAAACATTCTCGAGTGGAACGTTAAACAACATAAAACCAATCAATCTAATGTTGGTTACATGTATATTATGAAGTCGCACTTGTTTAAGCTAACGTAATTAGGTTAGACATTATTTATATGTAATTTAATATAAAATTTAGAATTAGGAGGTATTTTCTGCCACCACTTCAAAATTTGGCACATATCTTACCGAAACAATATTCAATAAAATTTAACACCAAAAACAAACATGTACAAACAAATTTTTGTAATGTGTTTTGGTTGAAATGGCAACAACTTGAACACCTTTTTTAAAGACATGCTTTTATAATAAGGTTCTTCAGGTCTATATAAATATTAAGCAAATCAAACCTTGTTCGCAGAATTGTCACACCATGTTGCCACTTAGACATAAAGAAACGATTAAGTATATATGACTGTATAAGTGGTCACCTTTCAATTGGTACATACAAGTATCAAATACATTCATATTCTGAAAAATGCTAGACATTGCTCAATTACTAATGACAGATACTGTAAATCACTTTTTATTCGCGAGAACTTTATTGTAGCGTAAAGACGCAGGACGGTATGCTAGCAAAAATGTTATTCTTGCTTATAAAAGTATTCCATCAGATTATTATGTAAAGCAAAAACCACAATCTGTGGCAATATTATCTCGCTATTCAAGAGTCCATGACTATTTCACCAAAATAAGATATCGCAAAAATTAACTGATCTACAATATTATATAATCAAACTGATTTTAAAAGAAGAAGATTGGTAAGTCTTGAGAAAAGGGTATAAGAAGTACTATAGAATACACATTTAATGACTGCTAAAGTGTCATAATGTATATAGTCTGACAAATTTTGATGCTTATTTTTTTATATCAGCTTGAAGGTAGAAATTAAAAATGTAAAGCTCGTGAATATATAACAAAACATCTAAGACAGCGATCCTAAAATATTGGAGGAAGACATTGGATTTATTGCTACATTCTACAGCAAACATAGACATGATATACGAACCTGATTACATATAATATCATTTTTTGTAAACTACAGCTGAATTCATATACAAAAATGTATGATGGGGAAATAGACACTCTTGAAATGATTAACATTAAGGCAAGAATGTGAAATCTTATTTCCTTTACATTCTATCGATATTAAAACAAATGTGAAAATTTAACAATTTTAACAAAGTAACCCCCAAAAATTAACAGTGAGTTTTTCCCCATATTTATTAATTATAAAAATACAGGAGTTTACATACAAAGGTATACAAGGGTATGCATCTAAGGATATGAATATTTCATACTGAGCACTAGCTTTAGCATGAATATTGTGGGTACCACATTTGTCAGTATGAATAAGAAAATCAATTTGAACTTTCTCTGCGTTTTACTTACTAATTTGCTTAGAAACACCCGTGTTTAGACTGATCTCACTAGGGTAAATGCATTCGTAATGCGACACATTTTTTCACATTTTAATTTATAATTAAACGATGCAAATATTTTCTTTATAATAATAAATGCATTCTAAAAACAATTATAACAACATAACTATAAAAAGTTTTAAAACATCTTAGCATGTAAAGAAAATCACCCGTTGAAAAAAATAAACAATTTCAGCACTTATAGACTCCAAAAATTAAACCGACTAATACAATTGTTACAACAGGCCCATGGGCCACATCGCTCACCTGAGCACTGTGGATGGGAAAAGTAGAAATTGGTTTATTATTGAATAGTTTATTCCAAAAGTAGTCCCATGACCAATCATGGCTTTTCTATTCTTGATAAGATGATTTTTAAAGAATTTTCTTATATATGTAAATGTAAAACTTTGATTGGCCATTGTGGCCCCGCCTTACCCCCGGGAGTCATGATTGGAACAAATTTGAATCTACGCTACTTGATGATGCTTTATTATAAATATGATCAATTATGGCTTCGTTATTCTTGAAAAGAAGATTTTTAGAGAATTTTCTTATACATTCCTATGCCATGCTTTGGTCGGCCATTGTGGCCCTGCCCTTCCCTCGGGGGTCATGATTTGAACAAATTTGAATCTACACCACCTGAGGATGCTTTCATTTAAAAATGATCAATTATGGCTTTGTTATTCTTGAGAAGATTTTAAAGAATTTTCCTATATTTCTTTGTTAAACTTTGGTCGGCGATTGTGGCTCCGCCCTACCCCCGGGGGTCATGATTTGAACAAATTTGAATCTACACTACCTGAGGATGTTTCTCCATAAGTTTAATCTTTCCTGGCAGAGTGGTCCTGGGGCAGAAGATTTTTAAAAGATACCACCAAATTTTCATTTATTTCCAATTATCTCCCCTTGTATGAGAGCGTGACCCTTCATTTGAACAAACTTTTATCCCCTTAACCCAAGGATGGTTTGTGGCAAGTTTGGTTGAAATTGGCCCAGCGGTTCTTGAGAAGAAGTCGAAAATGTGAAAAGATTACAACAACAACGACTACAACAACGACGACGACAGACAACGGACAAATTGTCATCAGAAAAGCTCAATTGAACCTTTGGCTCAGGTGAACTAAAAACATTATCCAATTCTTAAAAAATGTACACCATTTGTCCTTTTTTAATTGTGATAAAAAATCTTTTATAGTTACAAAGTATACATTGCTTATAATAAAATAATATGTTGTCCCTTTTCCAGCACTCAATTAAATTTACTTTTTTTCAAATACAGAACCATTTATATGTCTGTATATATTAAGAAACTATGATGGTATATTTCTCCACACACGTGCAAGATAAATTATGTTAACATGCGTTATAATATGTGAATATACAACATGCTCTTGTCTTCATGCAAAAAAATTATGTTATCATGCAAGTACATGTAACCAATCTAGGGATTCCATATAACTGAAAGAAGACCCTAAAATGGACCTTTGACCTTGGTGTTTGAACCATTTAAAAAACACTTTAATCACAAACATCACACCAATAGTACTTTCATATTTCCCAGGTGTACTCCTTCAAACGGGACCTTCTATATGATACCAAGAATTTTGATCTTTTGACATTAACCTTAGAGTTTGAATTGGAATTGAGATACATTATTCCTCGCCGTAAATTTCCATATAAGGTTATCTGTGTTTTACAAAAAAAAGTCGTGATTACGAGGTTTGTCCGTAAAGTTCGTGGACAAGCTAAGAATTAAATAAAAGTTGTGTCATTGATATTTATCATTAACAAACTTCGAATCTTTTACATAATGTAATTGAAAAATGTAAAATGTTATTCAATTTCAAATGTTTAGTTACAATTATGGCTTCATAGTTAGTCTTGGAATGGAGAACCGGGGCACCGTCAAAATTTTAATTATTTTTTTTTTTATCACTTTATAAATTTCATTAGTATTTTATAAAATTCTGCGGAAATCTTGATGACTTTTATATTATGAGGTTAACAGAGGCCATCACTACAAACCTGCAAAACTTTAACGTTCAAAGTTGTAAAATGGCTGAGCAATCAAAGTTAGAAATATTAAGACGGATCGGAATTGTTTTTAAAAAGGGATGTTTTCGGAATAGGTGGAGCAATGAGCAGTGATTATATTCTGCGTAGACGTCGGATAAACACCTACAGAGACCAATATAATTCACTTTTTAATTAAACGATGCAATATAACAATATATACATTCAAAAAACAATTATAACAACATAACTATAAAAAGTTTTAAAACATCTTAGCTTGAAAAAAATCACCCATTGAAAAAATAAACAATTTCAGCACTTAAAGACTCCAAAAATCAAACCCACTAATACAATTGTAACAACAGGCCCATGGGCCACATCGCTCACCTTAGCACTGTGGCTGGGAAAAAGTAGAAATTGGTTTATTATTGAATAGTTTATATCCAAAAGTAGTCCCATGACCAATCATGGATTTGCTATTCTTGATACATGTAAGATGATTTTTAAAGAATTTTCTGAAATATGTAAATGAAAAAAAAAAAGATTGGCCATTGTGGCCCCGCCCTGTAATAAAATATATAATTAAAAATTAACAATTGAATTAATTTTTGTTACCCTGTTTACTACGTTAATGCCTTGATTAAAGGTAATGACTGATTGATACGCACGGGTGAGATTAAACAAGTGTGTTTCATTAAATGATTACATCTCACGTCTACAATTGTATTAAATTGCAAAACTAATCGTTAGCTATAGAAATAAATTAAACAATTGATAAGTTTGAAAAACACCAACAACTAGGTGTTTGTAATTGATCCATACACTCGCATAATTATATAGACAGTCTACAGCTAATCACAGAAAATAATAAAATTTCAATTTATCCTTATAAAACTTTTAAAGAATTATTCTTTGTATGTTGAATTCGCGTAATTTCTTTTCCGCTAATATAGCGAAAATTAACTCCGCGAGTTAATTTCCTGCCGTAGAGTAATCTTAATTCTAGGAAAATAAAGTGATTAACGCCAGTATATGGTATAATACGCGTAATATGCTATATATATGTCAAAATACAATTTTTTTTTTACATGCAGGATATTTATGTTCACTTGCAAGTATTCATCTCAACATGCGACTTATTTATGTTAACAAGAGATCCTATTAATTCAGCATATAAGATGATTATGTTAACATTCAACTAACTGGTGTCCACATGCAACATATTAATGTCAACATTCAAGTTTAATGTTACTTTGCAACAAATCTTGACATGCAGTTTTTTATGTCAGCATATGATTTGTTTAGGAGAACATGCCACATTACTATATTTATACTGAAAGGAAAAAGAAATAACATAATAGCATAATATTCGAAATAAATTCGGACCGCATGAACAAAAATTACGCAAATTAGTCAGATGGAAATTGAGTTATTTTGCAGCTAAATCAGTGTTCATAATTACTCAATCGTAAGATGTGTTGCATCACGTAAGGAAAACGCTAAAAGCCCAAAACACTTGCAATTTGATGACGATACGTTTGCCAACAAATCTTGTTGTACCATTTGATGCACCTGAGGTATATACTTTTTCTTAATTTTTTTTTTTTTTTTTTTTTTGGTTGGAATAGATCAGTCAACCGTGCCGATGCAATGTGCCTTAAAGTTAATCAAACGTAATCAGTGATGATTTATTGAATATTCCCGAACAGTACATTGGATGTTGTAAGTCATTGTCACTAAGGAAAGTACTCATTTTTGAAGCCCATTTTGTGTTTTTTGTTCATTGGAATCTTATGTGTATCTTAATGCTTATGTGTGTATAAAACAGATATTGGTTGCAGTATTTCAGAAAATTTTAGGTATATATGTTTTGGGGATTCTAAACAAGTTTTACAGCCGTTTTAACGAAGCGTTTGATTTTACTCTAGTTTACTGATTCTTTAACATTCATTTTACATCAGTGTCTCGATACGTGATGAAAAGATGTAACATAATTTTTTTTCAATACATTAAATATTCAAGTATGCGAGAAAATCAAGCTTAGTGTCATATGATTTCTATGTTACATGTCATCGAGCTGACGACATTATTTATTGAACACCCCTCGTAGTATGACAATGGTTATGTTTTGTTTTTCAATGCATTTCCTTCTGTTCATTTCCATCGAACTGTTGGTTTATACAATTTTGTGAAATCGAATTTAGAATTATCGTTGCCTCGTCTGTCCCTTCTAGTCTATCAACTGAAAAAGACAAAAAAACATGCCAAATTATATTTTCAATTAAATAAGCCTTATTCAGAAGATGAGTAAATTAACTTAAATAAAAAAAAACGTATCTTTCCCTGAAATTTAATATTTTAAACTGTGATATATAAATAGCCTATATCAAAAGCAGGCACGTATTACAATCGGAAAAAAATAAAGGGTTTGAACGCATCATCATGAACTAGATGAAATCTCATAGTATTGTTGTCATATATGTCTATTATATACATTTGAATAAAAAGAATACAGATAAAATAATTGGATATGAAAAGCATTTTCTCGCCATTGTGTTTTCCAAAAAGAGACATCTTTTGAGTATTTAGCGCTCTCTCAAGTGGAAAGCTTTTTTTCTTTGCTCTGAAAAATGATTTAATTTCAAAACGCCTACTTTTTGCTTTAAAAAGGATGAATCAGTTGCTTCAGATGTGAAACTTTCTTTTTCAGTAGTTTATTTTTCCATGAACAAATTTTATCATTTTATTTTATATACCTTCTCCTCTCATCGATGTATTTGGATCTACCAGACGCAAAATTGATGAAGGATCTGAACTTCCATCTTTACTTTCAATAACTAAAATGTTAAAAAGGCATTCAGTAAAAGTTAATGTGTATTTGGGACGATATTTCAAATCATATGTATCTTAAATTCAATGTTCTAGTTACTTTTATAGCACTTTTTTTTCAGATCCATAATGATCATGAAGATCCCCCAAAACATATCATATAACTTTCATTTAACCAAAAGCGCTAAAAAAGTTTTGAAATAGAGAAAAAATAAAAGTGCAGTGAAGACAATACGAGAAAATAGTTTTTCTTCTAAAATTTGCGTTTCAAGGTCAACATCTAGTTAATGAGTTTTGACTGTCTTCTTATACCCACACTCAAAAAGCAGGAGGGTAAATAGTAGTCGGTATGTCCGTCCGTCTGTCTAGCTGTTTGTCCGCCCGTCTGTCTGTTAAGCTTTGGGGTACCCATCTCTTATCTGCAACTTCTGTTACACCGCTGAAAAAAATTTGATGATACTTTTTTTTATATATTCCCATGGTTCATCTCCTATTTTACTATTTGATTTTTGATCTGACATTTATTTAGGTTTCCCATAGCATAACATGGACACTGACATCTTATTGATATGGGAGGTGGGGTACCATGTAGTGAGCTCATTTCTTCATTGTACCTGCCTCTAGTTTGTACAAGCTTAAGTATGTATTTTATTGTGTTTATCTAAAAGTTAAGTCCCGATACATCTTATTTTACAAGGGTACATTTGTAAATGATTAGTAGAAAAATGCGAGTCTTAATTTTCGATTTTTTAAGTACCTTTCATTTACTAGATCTTATCCATAATTACTTAACTTTTTGTATTAGCTACGTACCTTTATAATTCTTTAATTTAGATTCATTTAACTCCATATCTTTCTTTGCTTTAAAATTGAATAAAATGAAATATTTTAGTAAATAAATGTATACAAAAGTAATTTTAATCAATATGAAGTATGGATAGAAATTCAGTTAATCTAATCAGTACTTACCTCTTTTTGAACAAATTCTGAGGACTAATGCTATTGTTAAGATCGAAAAAGTCGGCATAAAGATGCCAAGTGTAAGGTATGCAAGGCTACTTCTTAAATTCAATTCAATTCTTGCTTCCCCATTCTTATGTCTGAAAAAAGGACATTTTTTTTTTACAAAAAAGACAGATAACTATCAGCGGCTGTATCTCTAGTTCCCTACTACCTTGGTAGCAAGAGGTTTCAAAATTTATTAATTACATAAAATATATTATTTTGTTACATGTACAGATACATGTTAGTACAAGTATATGTCCAATATATTTACAAAATTAGAAATTTTAAACACGTTAAGAGTTGGCAATTTGCTTTCTCTGACAAAGAAAATTACGAACGATATATCTCTTCATGACATACTACACATGGTCAATAGAACTTCTAACCATGAAAATTCATTTAAATCTCAGTGATCTTCATCCACGGAATTTATTCATTTAAGAAATAAGTTATCATTTTATAACATCTATCGGAGTACAAATACGTGTTAGTCACGAGATTAAATTCCATAAATCCCGAAGGTCTTTATGATGAATTTGATCTCGTACCAACCAGTATTTATACATGTACCCCGATAGATGTTTTATATGAATGATACCTTATTAATTATATTTACATTTGTGACTTATTCATACTTTATATTTGCCTGATTGTGACTTTAACGGGTGAAATGCATTATTTTTCAAACCCAACGGAATGTATGTAATCCACTAAACGCGAGTTGATTCTTTATGACGTCACTAAGAAATTACGTAGAACGTTTATCCATACGCACATCTATAACCTCCTGACCTCCTACCGGTATTTATACAGCTTTAGATATGCATTGTTTTCAGTAGCGTTTTATAAAGGAAAACCTTGCAAATGTAAATATTAACAAATAATCAAATAAGAATTGTTCATACTAATTGTTAGTTCACTATTTATACACTGAATGACATCAGATTTCATTTTCCGACCATGACAAGGAGCACACGGCGGGTGTGACCGGTCAGCAGGGGGTGCTCACTCCTCCATGGCACTTGATGTTCGGAGGTCCGTGTCTGCTCTGCTATTATCATGTATTGTTTTATAGATTTTAATATGAAATACTCTCATTATCCCCATATTCTTCTTGATAATATACCGTATAAAAGATCAATTATGTTAAAGTTGTACATTATTGAGAGGAAACATAAAGAGATATAAGTCGATCTCGTGGCGCAGTGGATAGAACGTCTGCTTTAGACCAGGGAAGGAGTCGCGGGTTCCTCTGTTATACATGTAATCCATTGGTCCAAAAGAAAAAAAAGTAGTTGGACGTATTTTTATGGAGTGTAGATAAGAATAAGGCCTAAATTTACGACCGAAATTACCTAAAAGGTTCGAGGATAAGTTGTCTTTGCTCAATCCGTCCCTCTGCCTAGCTGTACTTTTGTCTTTTTTTCTGTTTGTCCGCAAAACATTAACCTTAGACTAAACTTTTCAATGGGTGGGGCTATGATTCTCATATTTCAGCCAAATTTGACCTTGTGACCTTGACCTTGGAATTAGACTCACTTATACTAAAATTTTTTCGAGCTTTAAGCTTGTACATGACTTCTGGTAGATAATGCTTGGGATTCCAAAAATGGATCTTTGACCTTTGTGTATGAACCATTTAAAAAACACTTTAATCACAACCATCACACAAATAGTACGAAGTCTTTCATATTTCTCAGGTGTACGCCTTCAAACAGGACCTCCTATTTGATACCAAGAATTTCGATCTTTTGACATTAACCTTAGATTTTGACTTGGAATTGAGAAATTTTATTCCTCGCCGTAAATTTCCATATAAGGTTATCTGTGTTTTACAAAAAAAAATCGTGATTACTAGGGTTGTTCGTAAAGTTCGTGGACAACCTAAGAATTAAATAAAAGTTGTGTCATTGATATTAATTATTAACATACTTCTTATCCTTTACATTTAAGGTAATTGAAAAATGTAAATCTTATTCAATTTCAAATGTTTAGTTACAATTATGGCTTCATAGTTAGTCTTGGAATGGAGAACCGGGGCACCGTCAAAATTTTAATTAAAATTTTTTTTTATCACTTTATAAATTTCATTGGTATTTTATAAACTTCTGCGGAAATCTGGATGACTGGATGATATTATGAGTTTAACAGAGGTTATCACTACAAACCTGCAAAATTGTAACGTTCAAAGTTGTAAAATGGCTGAGCAATCAAAGTTAGAAATATTAAGACGGATCGGAATTGTTTTAAAAAGGGACGTTTTCGGAATGTTTGGAGCAGTGAGCAGTGATTAAATTCTGCATAAACGTCGGATAAACACCTACAGAGACCAATATATTTTGTAAACAATTGGGAAAATATATTAAAAGAAGCCGTACATTATAGTATTAAAGTGGCATATATGTTCGGACGAAAAGGACAGTTTACAGGAAGACATGCGTGTAGGAAAATCACCATGCTGTAAAAAATGAACGTGACTTTACCGTATTTCTTTAAATAAAATTGTTTTTACGTGGACAGGTTTTGGATGATTGCAGGATATGAAATAGGCATTTTTAAATATTTTTTACGTTTTTCAGTGATCATCAATGTTGTCCATGAACTTTACGGACAACCCTCGTACATAAGAATTTGTAAATAAAATATCAAATGTTTTCCTTGTAAAAGCTTCTTCGTGTAGTGTAGTAACTAATGATCTGTAGCTCGCTGGTCTGAAACAAATGGGAAAGATGACTGGAGAGCTAGAGTGTCATCAACTCAAAAAGTGAAAAATTATTGCGCACAACAAAGCTGTTTGTCGATTCATTTTTAGATATATCTTAAACTATAATTACTAACCGAGTACATGGCTTGACATTTTCTTTTCAATACAACCATGCAGGTTGTAGAACGAATATTGCAGGAGTCCCTTTGTTGTTCATTGGGATCGACATAGTCTGCATGATTTGGTGGATGGACATTTGCAAATATCTCATTAGTCATGTACATATAAACCATTTTTTTTAACTTATAAGAGGTACCAATTCCATGATCCTTCAAAATATACTAACAGTAAAACGTTGTCACTTACAAAGATTAAGCGCTATAAATAATTTTACAGTCGAAAGATATTTTTAGAATAATGAAAAAAGATTTCATTGAAGTAGAAAAAAATCGATAGACAAGCATTCTTCCTTTCAGAAAGGGAACCTTGCATACAGTTAGATGATAGAGATTTTTGTTTATCTAAAAAAAGTAAATTGATTTCTACTCCAATGTTAATATACACGTGTATGTTTGTCACCAACCTAATTTTTTACAGAAATATAAAGTATGCACATATATCAAAATTTATGTTATAGTGGTGTGTTGCAACCACTATTGAAATAACGACCACTATTGAAATAATTATATCAATAGTGGTTGAGATTGCATTTCAATAGCAAACATAGTTAGTAACCACTATTGAAATACAACCACTATTGAAATAATTATATCAATAGTGGTTGAGAGTGTATTTCAATAACAAACAAAGGTTGCAACCACTATTAAAATAATGTTCAATTTTGAAATTAAATTTCAATATGGATTAAATTATTGATTTTAATAGTGCATTAAACAATAAATCCAATATCTATTGAAATAATTATTCCAACATTTACTGACGCGGTGAATTTTTTCTTTCAACACTGTTAGTATTTCGAAAGTGGTTGAAATCTATGGTTACCATATTGAAATGCACTCTCACCCACTATTGAAATTATTATTTCAATGGTGGTCGTATTTCAATCGTGGTAATTACCTATGTTTGTTATTGAAATGCACTCTCAACCACTTTTGATATAATTATTTCAATAGTGGTCGTATTTCAATAGCGGTTACTAACTATATATGCTATTGAAATGCACTCTCAACCACTATTGATATAATTATTTCAATAGTGGTCGTTATTTCAATAGTGGTTGCAACAGTGGTGGATGTTTTAAATCTGTCAAAGTTCTTTACCTTCAGATTTTAATTACGCTTTTTCAAAATCTTAAGAAGTAAAATTCGAAGAAAAGAAAAAAAAAAAAAACAACAACAAATAAATAAAATGGGTATCTAAATTGAAAGAGAAAGGGCACGTCTTTCATTTGCAAAACTTGCACTTACATCAATGTTGAATTCGAATATTGTTCATGTGTCGTTTGTTGTTGTACTTTTGTTGCATTTTCGATGTATGTTGTTGTTGTGATAGTTGATTCCGGTAATTCTGGTAGTTCGTAACATTCTGTATCTAAAAGTGTAAGAAAAGGCTTAAAGCTTATTATAGGCAGGATAAAAGCATATTAAACCTTCAAGATGTTTCATCAGTCTATATATCTTTGACAATTATATGCTTATATTATAATGATATCAGTACTAATTTGTAAAAATGTATTTATCCAAAACAATGTGATTGGGACAACATGGAAATTTATACCCCAGTACATATACATGTAGTAATAAGTGTGCATAGTAAATTCTAAAAACTGGCATTCCTTACACACGTAGCTCAAACTGGAATTGTAGCCTAATCCCAGTACGTACAGTATAATTTTCAATTTTTTTCAATTTTTATTTTGCTTAATAAATATGTGGATTCAAATTATTTTTTAAGAACCGTTAAGTTAAAACGTTTATTAATATCAAATAAAAAGCGTCCCTTCAATTGTATTTGCAGATATGTTCTATATTGTACGTACCTGAGTGTACATACTGAATTCTAAAAAAAACAACATTCCTTACACATGTAGCTCATACTGGAATTGTAGGCAAAGGGACATCTTTTACATGGCTTTTCAGCATGTTCTTGTACAAACATCCCACCCGAAGAAAACTCAGAACAGAATCTGGCTAAAAATTGAATTAATAAATAATTTAACTTTCTAATATGCAGTTGCAAAATGTATGCTGCTGGAAATAGAACACACAAACTTAAGGATACTAATAGACCAACATCGCTACATGTAAGTATGGAACTTTCTTATTTGTTATCAGATCAGACATAGGTATCTTCATTTATTTTGAAAATATAAACCAAAGTAAACTGCACGTTAAGGTAAAAATTCATTCATCTGTTTTTTATGTTTATTAAATTTGTTTTTATTTTAACTCGTCGCCAGCGTAGCGCAGTAGTTAGAGTGTCTGCTTTAGAGTCGCGAAGTAAGGAGTTGATCATTACGTCTTGGGTTCGAATCCCACTGTGGGACGTGGAGACCGGTCCTTCGGCTGAGACCGTATAAACCGAGGTCCCGTGCCGCAGCAGGTGCTGGCTAGAAAAAGATCCCTCCTTGCTCAATGGCCCTGAGTGCCGAATGAACGACAAAGTCTGTCTCTCCACCGGCAAGTGGTGACGTCTCCGTATGAGGGAAACACTCTCAAGAGGGACATAAAACAATTCTAATTATGACTCATATTTTTGCATGATGAATATACATGTACAACTCAACGCACATTTTAATCTCGCACTGCTTCTCACACAAATTAAAGTCACATTTTTCTTACAATAAGAATTAAAAATTATCGCGTTTCAGTATGCGACATAACCTAATATTATAAAATAGTTCATGGTTATGGTGCGTATTCTCTAAAATCATTATCTTAAGTTTAAAAAGTCAACATTTTAAAAGGAAATTTGTATATAAATTATATGATGTTAAATGTTTATAATTTTATTCTAGGTATTAATCTTAATAAAGAAATGTGAGAGGATAGGAAATAATGTATTGTTTATCTTTTCACATATTTAATTATTTAAAAAAAAAGATTTTTTTAACATTTATGGTCTGAAACTTTGAAATTTTGCGTTTGAAGGTATCTTTCACAATGCTAGAATTCAGAAAGTTAGCCTGAAAATATGCAATCTATTCAACATGGAAAGCAGTCGAACAGATGAAAAAGTACTTCTATCATCTTGCGCCTTACTGTCATATTAATGTACAAAAAAGTTACATAATCTGCACTGTTTCTATATTAAGGCAAGACAAAAGTATCCTTTAAAATAAACGGATACAAAGACGGTTGTCCATAATAAATCTTCTAAGAGCATATAAAAATCCTACCAATTATTCTGTGTGAGTTACGTGTAAGTTTAACAAGAGTATTGTGTTGTACATGTATTAAAAAATATGTGTATATAGAAATAAAAAAAACAAACAAAAAACTGTTTTCTTTCGATTCTTATTAATACATGTATCCATAAAATAAATCACAGTAAAAAAAACTATGTTGAAAATAAAAACCAGTGAAGGATATCTACATGGAAATGGATGAGACCACGACATTTCAAAGGCTAACGTTTGACAGCATTTTTATTTACCGTTTGAAAATACAATTCCTGCAATAATTAAATTGCCTGTTTTCCTTCAGTTTAATCTCCGTGTTTTTTTTCCTGATTGTTCCGAAATGTATTTGTGACATCTGTAGAAGCAATCAGAACACGTATATCGATCAAACGTGTGTTTCGTAACGTTGTGTTAATGCAGACTGCAAATTTGTGAATGGGAACCTGCTATCAAAACAATTTTCGAACAAGGCATATTTTTAAAAAAAGCATATATATATTACCAATTATTTTAGTAGTTGCAGCACACAGCTCTAATAAGTTTTTTCCAAACTCATCCCAAATGCAGTGGTAAACAAAGTCTGTAACAGAACAGTTCCGTGGAACATCCCCACAGTTCTTTAGCTTGGCTCTTTTGTCCCAAGTTTCCTTATCTTTTGGACACGATTTAACGACTGTAACAGTTTTAAGGGATTCGGCACATGGCTCCCTCTAAAAAAGAAAATAATTGCGAAATGATGCACATGACGACAGGGCCAGGTCATGTGATAACCAATAAACCAATCATCCACTACGGTTTTGTAAAGATCGAAGACGTATACCACTAAATCACAAACGTTATCAACAAATTATCAATAATCTTAAATTGGATGCATCTAGTTTTTACTGTCACTAGGAAAATGGTTGAGGAATTCTTTGATTATAGCACAATGTGGTGGGAAACGATTTAGGTTTTGTTCGGAATTTATTATACTTTTTTTAACTTGACATACAAATTCACGAGCATGCTATTCACTTTTGACGTCATAAAACACATGATAATGAATAATTTACTTTTCGTATTTCTCTTTTAAAGAGTTTAATAATGCAATAGCAAAATAGAAATTATTTCCTTTTGTCGCGTAAAATGGACAATGTACCGTTATTTGGGCTAAGCTTTTTATTTGCCAACAACATATATCTACTATTGTGGTATATTATTAAACAATTCCCCGGGAATTACTTCTAAAACAGCGCTGGAAAAAAACAACTTTTTTTCACGCATTTAATTTTCTGCACACATTTTGCAAACTGGAACATATTACCCCCATATACCATTCATCTTGAAATTATCTGACTCAGCAGATGGACTACATGCATAAACTTTAATGCAAATTATATATCAAATGTCTAAAGGAGCATAAGTATAAACTTTATCTTTGACAATACCTTTAAATAATTACAGATAAGTACGAATATGTCATATCTAAGTTTAAGTAAGTAATAGAGATAGAATGTCAAATAAAAAAAAATAATGAAAAAAAAAATTAACGAAGTATCAGTTGTTGTATCTTTAACTTGAACAAATTGATTTCAAAAATGGGACTTGAAAAGAAAACACTTCCTGTAAATTAATTGATTGTCTATTTTCTCCCTGTTGATATGTGGGAAAACCTTATTTTCATTTCTGAAGAGTTTATATGAGGACAGATATTTATATAACATTAAACATTGAATGTCTATATGGTATACACATGCTTAATTTAAATAAGAAGAATAATCATTATGGTAGATTGCAGAGAAAAGTTTACCATTTCAGAAAAAAAAAATATTCATCCGTTTAAGGTATACCGCCCATATTAGGACCAAAATTTCTAACCTTAAATATCAATTGTTTTTAAAATATCCTGATATTATTTTAAAGCATTTAAGAGTAGAAAGGGATTTACCAAGAGAAATTTTCAAAAATTTTATTGCCTAAGCAGAAATTAATTATTGAAGATTGCATTGAAGTCTATGGAAAGATTGATTGATTGATTGTATATTGTTTAACGCCGAGTCGGCAATTTTTCAGCCATATTTCGGCGGACTATTCCTATTAGGTTAATTGATCGGTTCTATGGAAAGAAGTAAGTTTTTTAAAATAAAAAAATAAATACTTCAAATATCAAAAAATGCTGTGGTGGAAAGATTTATTTGATCACTGGGAATAGAAAAAAAAATAGAAATAATTTTTTTACCAAACAAATTTAAAAAAAAAAAATTAATTTTATTGAATAAAATCAAAGGGAGATAACTCGTCAAGGGCAGGAAAAGGTAATAAATTAGGACATGTCCCACTCTTACATTCTGAAACTAAAAGATGAAAAATGGTTCTCACTGCACTGAGTATTCAGCCCATACATATCTATTATGCATTCAATTCCATTGAATCTGGGGCTAATATGGATCGGATACCTTAATGATTTTCAAGAAGGAAGGATTTTCAACTGATTTTTTATTACATGTATTTTTATGTATAATGATAAATCGTAGATCGTTCTTGAATACGTCTACTATTGGACATTATTATCTACGTTTTGCAAATAAAAATTGAAAAATAATATGTGGCAAAAACATAAAAAAAAAATATCTTCTTTTTTACCAATCCTCTTTTTTGTCTTTGTGGTGCTAAATTTCCACTACAACAAATCAGGAAGGCGACGCATATGAAAAACTGGAATGATAAATAAAGATCCGCTTGTATACAAATTATGGTTGGCCGTGTTTCGGTCTTCATCAGATTGGTAGCATTCTGAAACCAAAAAAGCATATATTTCATTTGGGAAAATAGGAACGTCTTCATTTCATTAATGGAACTGCTACTAATAATGAAACCTGTACGGGCGACATGCCTAACGTAATTCATGCAGTGATTTACGCAATGGTTTTTTTTTTAGAAATAAAGGAGAAAATATTCAGTGGATGTAAATATATTGAAATGCATTCTCAACCACTATTGAAATAATGAATTAAAATCAACAGTCAATCACTAAATCAATCGGATGAAAACATCAATTAATTAAGTAGGTATTCCAAAACTTGGAATAAGATGCCCTGTCGTTCTTGGACTACCGCATATAATGTAAGATGCCCTTTCAGGACGGATTTTATATGTGATAGACCATCAAGCACTACACTCATTGTAAGATGCCTTATTTAGAAAGGACAATGAGTATAGCAGCCTGGACGGGTTGGTCAGCCAATGCAGACGAGACACAAGAAACAATGGCTAGCCTGTATTTTGGACGTCATCTTAGTTTGTGGCAGGCAACTACTGGGTTGGCCTTCAAAAGAAAGAGGGCATATAAGGCGTGTACAATCCCCCGCTCTGAGAAAAATGTTTCTCAATTTTCAAAATTCACAGAAAAGTTATATTTTTCTAAAATCATGTTCTCAGTAATGTCCTCTTCAAAACACTTTATTATTTTATTTTACTGAACGACTTATCATTTGATAATCTTTATTTCAAAGTTGACAGTTCAGCATATTTAGTGGAAAATGGGTTTAATAGAGCTATACAAACGAATTTTGAATATGAATGGGTCAAGTCTCATTTTTCTTGAACGCTTTAATGTTGGAAACGTGAATGTAAAATCTATTTCATTTGTCCAAAAAATGGAATCTGAACCCATTCTATATGAAAATCGAACTTTTCTGAAAAAATATACGCTTCAACAAACCCGTTCATTTAAATCACACTGAAAGACATCAATAATGCATATACTTCGTAGCGTAGTGGTAAAAGCGGCTGGTCTTGGACCAAAACTGCGATATGGAGAGAGTTCGAATCATACGTGAAGATTTTTCTTTTTTGTTTTTAAATGTCTTATAACACGAGTGAAAATAAATTATTGATAAATTAATTAAACAATGAAATACAGAATTTGATGTGTAAAAGATGATATAGACAATAAAATTTTGAAAAAAAAAATACTACTTTTAGAATTGAGAAAAGTCTTTTTTCAGAGTGGGGTATTGTCCTCGCCTTCTACGCCTCCATTCTTTACTCTCCATTTATAAAGGCATAATACTAGTAGATCATATTTATATGGAAGCATCCGCAGGTAGTGTGGATTCAATTCTGTTCAAATGATGACCCCCGGGGGTACGGAGGGGCCACAATGGCCGATCAAAGTTTTACTAACAAAGAAATATATAGGAAAATTCTTTTAAATTCTTCTCAGGAAAAGCAAAGCCAAAATTTATCATATTCATACGAAAGCATTCTCAGGTTGTGATTATTCAAATTTGTTCAAATTATCACTCTCAAGGGCAGGGCGCAGCCACGATGGCTGATCAAAATTTTACTTAGAAATATATAGGAAAATCATTTCTCAAGAATAGCAAAGCCATGATTGGTCATGGACTACTTTCTGATTTAAACTTTTCAAAAATAAACCAATTTCTACTTTTTCCTAGCCACAATGCTCAGGTCAGCGATGTTGCCTGTGGGCCTTTCGTTGCATAGAATTAGCATGTAACCGTGACAAAACCTTTTCATCTGATTTACCAAAAAATTTGACCTCAAAACATTGATAAGAGTTCAAACATTATTTGATTGGTAAAATATTTTAATGAGAGATGAAATGGCATTTGTATAGCACAGGTATATGGTCTGTGACTTGATCTTTTTTAAGGGTACTATAATTATACCCCGCTTAAAAAGTGGAAGGTATATAGTAATCAGTATGCCCGTCCGTCCGTTCGTCCGACTGTTACGCTTTGGGGTACCCGTCTCTTATCCGTAACTCCTGTCATACCACTGAATGAAAATTAATGAAACTTTCACAAAATCTTTATTACATTTTGTCATTGAGCACCTTTAATTTTACTTTTTGATCTAGCTGACACATATTTGGATGTTCCAGCGTGAAACATGGATACTAACATTTTATTCATATGGGAGGCGGGGGTATTATTTAGTAAGCTCATTGCTCATAGTACCTCTAATTTTTTAACCTACATCTTTGTTTTTGAAATAACATGTATTATGGCAACATTGGTGATATTTCTTTCAAAAAAGAAAGGATAATGATAGAAAATCCGTATCTAACATGTACATTACTTATAACAAGACCCTCCCGAGTGTAATATGATTTTTAAACTTACAATTTAACCAAGGGGTTTAACCCAGCTGAGTATTTTAAACAATAGACATTTGCAGTATCTTATCAATAAGAAAAGGTAGGATTTTTATATTACAGATCAGGAGTATTTGATCTTTCAGTGAGACTTGATGAAATTGACCTATCTATCGATATATTTTAAGTTTTCTTACTTATTAGTAGCAATAATACCATCATTAACTGCATGCGAAGTTTATGTATTTAAATTGATTAACCCCCTTTATACAGTCGATGAAGGTGTATCGCTGTATAAGTAAGGGGCGTTGAAGATTAAAAGCTTAAGGACATCCCAGTTGTCAGTAAACTTTGTTGCTTCACGTATGCAATCCTTCTGAGAAGACCATCCATTGGATACCAAGAACTTTGACCATTTGGCATTTAGTTTGAGTTTGAGCATCCAGTGAAAAACTTTAAACATGCCCATGACTTTTAGCGGTCAGAGATATGGCTTTCACATGTGTATATATGAAATCCTTGTGACAAGACTTTTATTTAAAATTCAGTCAAATGAAGTTTTTCATACCAATTATTAGTCCATTATATACACTGAATTGACGACGGATTTTTCCGTTATTTCACGATCATGACAATGAGCACACGGCTCACTCCTCCATGGCACCTGATCCCACCTCTGATGTTTCGGAGGTCCGTGTTTACTCTGCTTCTATTTCGTATTGTTTTATGGACTTTGAGAATGAATATTGTTCGTTATCTCCATATCCTTCAATTAATATCCAACTATTTTGACTCTTTGACCTTGACCCTTGATTTTCAGCTACCTTTCAAAAACTTATCCTTGCTCATAGCTTCTGAACAGATGGCGCTAGGGAGTTCATATTTTTTCAATTGTATTTCGTGTAAGAAAACCTTACTTTGGGTTCCAACATATTTACTTTGCATTTAAAAGTTTAACCTTCGCTGTGTTGCCATTCGGGTGTATCTGTTTTTCAAAAACAATTCTTGTTTAAAGCATTTAATAATTAGGTTAGTTGATACAGTGTACAATGAACTATCAAGATAAGCGAATCTAAATACATAAGTTTTTTGACGATTGGCCTGATATTTCAATGCTAAAAACCATTTTCCTCTGTGAATAGTGGAATAGTGGGGGAATATATATAGTTTTGGTTGTGTCCGTCCGTCTGTCTGTCTCTCTGTTTATCTGATTGTCAGCAAAAACTTTAACCTTGCTCATAACTTTTGAGCTAGTAGAGGTATGACTTTCATATTTCACAAGGCCTTTCATTGGGTACCACCAAATTGGGCCTTTAGACCTTGACCTTGGAGATTGACCAACTTTTAAACAAAATTCCAAACTTATGCTTTGGCCATATCTTTTGAACAGTAGACACAAAGACTTCTTTACTTCATATACGCAGGTGAGTTAAGGCTTAACATTGGTTTTTCTATGCAAATGAGCTAATAAAAATTTATAAATTGTATATTCTACGTACAGAGAAAGTGTAAATTTATTTTCTTATGCATACTTAGTACCAACAGTATAGTAATGCAACTGCACACTATGACTTCATTTTATGACGTCATTGTTTTTTCCTATTCAAGGTAACAAAACACATCAACAAAACAACATCGGCGCAAGGGCATCTCCTATCTCATTTAAAGTAAATAATGTATAATATTAAAGAGAACATACCTAAAATTAATAAAATTGCTGCGCAAATCCTATGTATTCTCTTTATCGATAACAAATTTAGGAAACTTACACTTGACTGTGAATTTTTTTCCTTATTTAAACTTAAATCTGTACAATTAACAACTAAACAATTGCACTGTCGACATTTGTGCAGCAATACCTTAAATCCTAGGAATATCCTGCGACTTTTTACCTTGTTTCTATAAAACAAAGTAAGCGATTTTGTTATTTCTTATAAACTTGTGAAGTAGAGATCGATTACGTAATAATATGACGTCATAACGTGCATTGGCTATCACATATCGTTGGTACCAAGAATGAATTAGAAAACAAGTCTTAACATTTTCTGTGAAGTAGGTAGAACAATTATGAGGTTTTATTAGATATTTCACCTTGAAACTCGATACTGTAGATCACTTAATATTTGCGACACCTTATTTTCGCGAGATAGTCATTGACTCTTGATAAGCGAGACAAAAGAAGTCGGTTCACTTTATGCATAAAATGGCCCTGTAGATATACCCAGTGGCGGATTTAAGGGGGGGGGCGCATCCGGCACCCCCCCCCCCCCTAAAATTGTCAAATAAAGTTAGCGTAAATCACAGTTTTGTCTAAAAAATGTAAATATGTCTACTTGGTAGACCTCACTTTTACCCTACAAAATCTCTAAAATCCAGGAGCCCCAGACCCCTTGCCTTCTTTTGGCGCCCCCTCTAACTTCAATTCCTGGATCCGCGCCTGATACCATCTGATTGATTAACATTTGATTCTCTATTTGAAGCTTTAAAATAAAGTAGAGACCCGGTACTTTCATATCCTATTAAATTTTTTCTCCTCAAATCTAGGTCTTGGAGAACTGGCTCTATGAAATTTCAATGTTCTTGAAGTTTTATGTAAACAGGTATAATTGAGTACTTTTAGTGAAGAAAAATAATATGAGCGCACTCTTTGATCTAAAAAAATAAAACATTT